GCTATATTGTGTGCGGAACAATACAACTCACCTCTCGTATGGCTACGGCAGACTGGCAGCGATTACTGCAGCCAGCCTCACCTAACCAGCCACACCGAGAGGGGGGGGCGCTGTTTCCCCATTACACTGACATTTGTGGCAAGTGGAATAATACCACATAAACACTGTTACAACAGCACAGTGCATTTACAGGTACAAGCCAGTGCATTTTTTATTCCCTCTGGTGTAAAGTCTCTGCCAAATCAAACATGTCAATCATTAAGAGTAAGATTTCCACACTGTGGGGGGCCCAGGTTAATGATAACTGCCTTTGGTGCTGTTGGCCAACAGTGTGCTGATGGAAGGAGACCAAGTGGAAGGGAAGCAAAGCCAGGAGCACGGCAGCTTGATTCACACTTTCTACATGGAATATAATAATAATAATAATGGATTGGATTTGTATAACGCTTTTTCAAGGCACCCAAAGCGCTTTACAATGCCACTATTCATTCACTCTCACATTCATACACTGGTGGAGGCAGCTACAGTTGTAGCCACAGCTGCCCTGGGGCAGACTGCCATATCGCGCCATCGGCCCCTCTGGCCAACACCAGTAGGCAGTAGGTGAAGCGTGTTGCCCAAGGACACAACGACCAGGACAGAGAGCCTGGGGATCGAACCGGCTACCTTCCGGTTACAGATGCGCTTCCCAACCCCCTGAGCCACGGTGAAAGAAAGAGTCGTGGTAATCTTTACTTTTATGTGAATAGTGTTTTGCAGGTGAAGAGAGGGTCAGACAAGATCATGAGTCTGAAGCTGGAAATCAAAGGATGATGTTGAATGTTGCCAGCGTGGTAACTGAAGCAGAATTTAATGGACATGTGTGGCGTCTTCTTTTTGAGGTCTTTACCTTACAATATAAAGCACCTTGAAGCAACTGTTGTGATTTGGTGCTATATAAATAAAACTGAATTGAATTGAAGGAGAGAAATGCAGAAGGACCCCAACCCAAAATGGCGCCGGTGAGGTCGGCTGCCGTGCTGGATGCTCTGCCCTAACTTCTCCACTTTTTGCAGTTTTTCGTCACTTTTTGCTATATCTGCGATAATCTTGCATGGGCATCATGCAAAACACACAAATCCGCTACAGTAGAGACACTTTGGTTTCTATTGGTCTGCAGTACACGAACATTTCACCATGTTTAACTCCGGACCCAACCTGGCCAAAGGAGATCCTGAGAGAGAACAAAGGATGCGACCCTAAGCGACGGCCTCGAGGTAAAAGAGCCGGCATCAGGAACAGGCTACGGGCTTGCGCACACCGCGCACCCATGCCCAGTATCCTGCTAGCCAATGTTCAATCCATCGAGAACAAGCTTGATGACCTGAGAGCCAGAATCAAGTTCCAGAGAGACATTCGGGACTGCAACCTCCTCTGCTTCACCGAGACTTGGCTGAACCCAGCGATACCAGACCACGCCGTGCAGCCGACGGGGTTCTTTTCGGTTTACCGCATGGACAGGACAATGGAGTCGGGGAAGAAAAGAGGTGGTGGAGTGTGTTTGATGGTGAACAACAGATGGTGCGACAGCACAAACATCTCCCCACTCACACGCTCTTGCTCGCCCAATCTGGAGCTTTTGATCGTTAAGTGTCGCCCTTTCTATCTCCCTCGGGAATTCACTGCGGTCATTGCCTGCACTGTTTACATTCCGCCTCACGCGGACTCGGACACTGCCTTATGTGAGCTACATGAGGCTCTCACAGATCAACAAACACTTCACCGAGATGCCGCACTCATTGTTATGGGAGATTTTAACAGAGTGAATCTCAAACGGACATTTCACAACCTTCACCAGCACATCAACTGCCCCACCCGGGGCACGAGGACATTAGACCACTGCTACACCCCGTTCAAGAACTGTTACAAGGCTCAACCCCTGCCGGCATTTGGAAAATCGGACCATTCCGCCTTCTTCCTCATACCTGCTTACAAACAAAGGCTAAAGCAGCAACCACCAATCAGGAGGGAGGTCGGCCGCGCTGCAGGACGCACTGGATGACGCAGACTGGGACATGTTTCGGCGCAGCTCTGATGACATCAACATGTTTACGGAAGCGGTTGTGGGATTTATCGGGAAACTAGCGGACGACACAGCAGAAAGAACTATCATCCGAACGTTTCCCAACCAGAAGCCGTGGGTGGATTAAAAACATCCGCGACGCTCTGAGATCACGCACCGCTGCCTACAATGAAGGGCTTGTCTCCGGTAATATGGACCTATACAAGGCTGCGTCCTACAACGTGCGCAGCGCGGTCCGAAAGGCAAAGCGGAGCTACGGGGAAAAACTAGAGTCACAGCTACGACAGTGCGACTCTAGGAGCCTGTGGAAAGGACTGCGGACTATAACGGACTATAAACGACCAGCTTCTTCAATGATGAATGCCGATGCTTCACTGGCTGATGAGCTGAACACGTTTTATGCTCGCTTCGACGCCGCAGCAATTAAAACAACAAACGGCTGCGTGCGCTCGGAGTGCACCAGTGAAGAAAATGCTTTCGTCATCACAGAGCATGCCGTGAGGAACACCTTCAGGAGGGTGAACACCAGGAAGGCAGCAGGACCAGATGCAATCCCTGGCCGGGTCCTTAGAGCCTGCGCTGATCAACTAGCACCGGTGTTCACGGAGATCTTCAACCTCTCCCTGGCCCAAGCTGTGGTTCCCACGTGCTTCAAACGGTCCATTATTGTCCCTGTTCCAAAGAAACAACAGCCCGCTTGCCACAATGACTACCGTCCAGTAGCACTGACTTCAATTGTGATGAAGTGTTTTGAAAGACTGATGAGAGATCACATCACTTCTTCACTTCCTCCCACCATCGACTCACTTCAGTTTGCTTACCGGACTAATCGTTCCACAGACGATGCCATATCTCACCTGCTCCACACATCCCTGAGTCACCTGGACACTGGCAGAGGGAATTATGTTAGGATGCTGTTCGTGGACTACAGTTCAGCATTCAACACAATAATTCCCTCTAAGCTTTTCACCAAGTTGACGGATCTAGGACTCAGCTCATCACTGTGTCAGTGGATCCTCAACTTCCTCACAGACAGACCCCAATCAGTGAGGGTGGGAAAACAAGTCTCCCCCTCCATCTCACTCAGCACTGGAGTGCCTCAGGGCTGTGTTTTAAGCCCCCTGCTGTACTCACTGTACACTTATGACTGTGTAGCCACATCCGACACCACCTCCATTGTCAAGTTTGCTGACGCCACTGCTGTTGTGGGCCTGATCTCCGACAACATCGAGACGGCCTACCTGGAGGAGATTAGGAACCTGGAGACCTGGTGCCAGGAGAATAACCTCCTCCTAAACATCAGCAAGACTAAGGAGCTGATCGTGGACTTCACTACAAAGCAGGCGAGGAATTACAAACCCCTCATCATCAGTGGCACGCCAGTGGAGAGAGTGGACAGTTTCCGATACCTGGGTGTCCACATCACTCAGGACTCAGGTCCTGTCACATCAACACCCTGGTTAAGAAAGCCCGTCAGCGTCTCTTCTTCCTCAGAAGACTTAGAGACTTCCATCTGCCACTGAAGGTGCTCAAGAACTTCTACTCCTGCACCATCGAGAGCGTCCTGACGTCAAACATCTGCACCTGGTTTGGGAACAGCACCAAGCAGGACAGACGAGATCTGCAAAGGGTGGTGCGCTCGGCAGAACGCATCATTCAATCAGAGCTCCCTGACCTGCTGTCCATCTACACCAAGCGGTGCAAGTCCAAAGCTAGGAAGATTATGATGGACCTCTCCCATCCCAACAATGGACTCTTCTCACTGTTGAGGTCTGGGAAGCGCTTCCGCTCCCTTAAGGCCAAAACAGAGAGAATGAGGAGGAGCTTCTTCCCCCAGGCTATTCGGGCCCTGAACCAGGTGTAGGACTGGACTCTCCCAAACACGTCACTATAAGACTGGACTCTCACACACGTCACCACACGCACCACCACACATTTCCTATAATCCTATAATTCCTATAATTTATAATCCTTATCTTTATAATCTCTTCTGCTATTTGCACATTCTTTACTGTAAATTCCTAAGTTAATTTGTAAATTTTTGTAGTAAACTGTAAATTGTAAATATTGTAAAACTTTTCTTCTGTCATTTAATGGTCGGGCATTGTACAGCTACAAGCATTTCACCCCCATGTCATACTGTGTATGGTTGTGTGTGTGTGACAAATAAAATTTGAATTTGAATTTGGTGTGGATTTTGCAAATAGGATGGAATGGCTGAATGCGGAAGTGCAGAGGTTAAGAAAGGAGGAAGTGAGGGCAGCTATGAAGGTGTATGAAGAGTGAAAAGGTGGTTGGTTGGAGATGTGTAGGAGACAGGGCAGTGGACCTTTGACTGTTTAACAGTCACAGAGAGTGAGAAGATGCCTGAGGAATGGAGAGTTTTGAAGAACAAGGGTGGTGTGCACAGATGTAGTAACTACAGAGCTTTAATGCTGATGAGCCATACCATGAAGTACACTATGGGAAAGACTGGTTGAAGCCAGGTTAAGGAGAGAGGTGGTGAATGCCCCAGATCTCCTAGGCTCTGTCTTGAGGTATCCTGAGGTAGATGCTGAACCCTGAGTTGACCCCAGTGCCTGTGAGTGTGTGAACACGCGGGTAAAAGTGCTTAGGCACAGAAAAAGCTGGTGTATGAATGCAGACAGCAGGTGCTATGTAAGCGCCAGTCTATTAAGTACAGCATTAAATGTTATGTCAGACAAGTTGAATAAAGAGGTCTTTGGCTGAGTGTCTCGTGTGCTCATCGCAGACAGTTTTGAGCGTTATTAGCAGCTAAAAATGAAGTGACAGAGCTCACACCGATGTCAATATTTATACCCGTAACCGTAGTGAGATTTGTTTGTTATAGGACGTGTACAGTTTACTCTCTTATTGTGGCTTCGAGCTTAATCGGGTTTCTACTTTCTGAGTTTTTGTTTCTTCTTCTTGTCTGCAGGAAAATGGCACCTGGGCCTGAACTGTGAGAGCCGTGACGATCACTGCCACCACCCTAACAACCACGGCTTCAATTATTTCTTCGGTATCCCTCTGACTAACCTGAGGGACTGCCAGCCTGGACATGGCACCATTTTCCAGTTCCATAAATATTTGCCATACAGAACAATGGGCATCGTTTTGCTCACTACAGTTGTGCTGCACTACAGCGGGGTCATCGGCAGAAGGTCGATCCTGAGCTTGATGTTTCTGTTGCTTTTGGTCACTGGTTTGCTAGTAGCGTTCATCATGGTTGTCCCATACTTAAACTGTGTTCTCCTGAGGGACCACAGCATTGTGGAGCAGCCATATAAGTCTGAAAACATGACACAGAGGATGGTCCACGAGGCAGTGGACTTCATAGAGCGGTACGTGAAGCTTTCCTGATTCACCTGGATCTGAAAACTCTCTTGTTGCAATGTTTCATATTCATTGTTTGTTTCTGCAGAAATTCAAACAGGCCTTTCCTGCTCCTTTTCTCTTTCCTCCAAGTCCACACAGCCATCTTTGCTTCAGCAGCTTTCAGAGGAACGAGCCGCCATGGTATCTACGGGGACGCTGTGCAGGAGGTGGACTGGAGTGTGGGTAGGTCATTCTGTCTGTTTAAAGGAAAAGCTGCTTTTCTATGTCTGTCAGTTCTTTCAAATCCAGTAAAAAAAGCCCAGAAGCTTCCGACCTCTCCTCTTTGCCCAGTTCAGTCAAATGACACTAAGAAAGAAAGAGCCTTCAGGAATAATCATTAAAGTGGGAACAGAAGATAAGTGTGTAGTCATAGCAATTACATCTTGTCACGATCTTATCATGTTAGGAGGGTAGGCTCTGTGAAACCCCCCCAGCTTCACCTGCTGCTGCAGAGGAGAGAAGAACCAGTGAGTGAGGCGAGATGGAAGATGTGAGGAGATCCACTTAAAACCTTGTGGATGGAGAACTGATCTCACTGTGCTTTGTAGTGTTTATCATGACCTGACCTTAGTATACTGCATGTCAGGGAGAAGCCCTAATCAGACAAATCGCTATGAGTCTCACGTGGCGACAGTGGGAAGAAAAACACCTTTTTAAAAGAAAACCTCCAGCAAAGCCAGGCTCAGGAAGCTCAACCATCTGAGCCGACTAGATTGGGGTAAGGATTACTAAATATTAAATGCAATACTGGTGTATAGAGGAGTATAAATAGGAGTGAAGAACTGCATCATCATCAACAACTATTACAGCATAACTACTGCACTGACAGGGACTCGAAAGAGAGAGCAGATTTCTCCTGTCTTGGCTTCCCTTCATTGGCTTCCTGTTAAATCCAGAATTCAAAATCCTGCTCCTCACATACACGGTCTTAAATAATCAGGCCCCATCTTATCTTAATGACCTTGTAGTACCATATCACCCTATTAGAGCACTTCGCTCTCGCTCTGCAGGCCTACTTGTTGTTCCTAGAGTATTTAAAAGTAGAATGCGAGGCAGAGCCTTCAGTTTTCAGGCCCCTCTTCTGTGGAACCAGCTTCCACTTTGGATTCAGGAGACAGACACTATCTCTACTTTTAAGATTAGGCTTCAAACTTTCCTTTTTGCTAAAGCATATAGTTAGGGCTGGACCAGGTGACCCTGAATCCTCCCTTAGTTATGCTGCAATAGGTGTAGGCTGCCAGGGATTCCCATGATGCACTGGGAGTTTCTTCTTCACTCACTATGTGTTAATAGGTCTCTCTGTCATTACAATTATAATAGTCATTACTTCTCCGTCAGCACTCTCAAAGCCAACAGTTTTTCTCTATATTAGGGTCTAAAAATAAAGCCCCTTGAAGTGACAGTTGTTTTGATTTGGCGATGTATAAATAAAGTTGAACTGAACTGTTTTTGGCGACTGAAAAAAGTTAATGTCCAGTAGTAATGATGGACATGATCAATACAATCCCTGTGTCAAGGCTGATGGGCACGCTGGACTCAGGAGATCAAAGTTCAGTGTGTTTGTTTACAGTGAAAGTATATTTGCACAAAGACACAATGCAAATAGTGGAATAGTGGTCCAGGGGTCCGGGGGGAAGAGAACCCATGTAAAACCGTCCATCTCAGGGTTCGACCCACCACACACCAAGGAGGGGAATCCAGGGAAATGTACAGAAGAAACACACTTAGTGTTCGAGGATGTCGGAGGCACCACAAACACAGAAGGTTTAACTCATTGTGTTGTTGAACGGTCCAGTGAAGAGTGGCGTTGATGAGATGAGGACACAAACACACGTGCACAGATAGAGGAGAGAGGCACAGAAAGAAAGCAGAGCAGCCAGCGAGCACTGATGCCTACTTTGACCAATCATATATAGAAGATGTATTTTTCCTCCTTCTTTAAGCTGCTCCGTTTAGGGGTCACCACAGTTCATCTGCATCCATCCCGCTCTGTCCCTCTGCCTCTGTCACACCCACTCTCCTGCTTGACATCATTGACGACAAACACGAACCTCCTCTGAGGTCTTCCTCTTTTCCTCCTGCCTGGCAGCTTTAACACATGTGTTGTTTTACAGTTTCTCTTTCTCGTTCTGTTATTCATACTCAAACGGAAAAATGTTTCCAAATAATTACAGACTGGAGTTTGCACTGTGTGTATTCTCAGGTCAGCTCATGGAGACGCTGGACAGACTCAGCTTGAGAGGAAAAACTCTTGTTTACTTCACTTCAGATCAAGGGGCTCATCTGGAGGAAATCTCTGCCAGAGGCGATGTCCACGGGGGATCGAACGGAATATATAAAGGTACACCGAGAAGAAAAACGGAAAACTGTTCTTGGTTGTAATGCTTAAAGCTGAAGACCTTTCTGCCTGTATACATCAGCAGGATTTTACCATTTAGTTAATAATTATAATTGCAGCCACCGGCAGAGCAAATGTAGACAATGACAGTACCACCTGTGCAGACGGCTCAGTGGGGATTTGGTGCAGTGCTATCATTTAGGCTTAATTGGTAGCCGGATGAGAATTATTTTCATGACTTCTTGTTCTTTTTTTTTTCTTTTACCGAGCAGCAGGGAAGTCCACAAATTGGGAGGGAGGAATCAGGGTCCCTGGAATTTTACGTTGGCCTGGGAAAATCCCTGGTGGCAGACAGATAGATGAGCCCACCAGCAACATGGACCTGTTTCCTACTGTGGTGCAGCTGAGTGGAGCTTCAGTCCCAGAGGACAGGTGAGGCTGCACAGCGGTGAGACTGTGCTCCTTCCTTATGTCAGCCTGAAATCTAGGTCACATTTAAAGAAAGGAGAGGCAGTGAGAGCGATTCACAGTGAGGGGAATCCTGGATGTGAGCAGAGGGAACATGTTTTCTAATGAAGAGTGGGGTGTTAAGGTAATCCAGAGGCTTTGATCAGTTGCAGCCACCATTGTAATTCATGTTCACTTTCTTTCTGCAGGGAAATAGATGGTCATGACCTCATGGATTTGCTACAGGGGAGAGCTGGACGTTCCAAGCATGAATTTCTCTTTCACTACTGTAATGCCAACTTGAACGCTGTCAGATGGCATCCCCAAAACAGTAAGTGTGCAACAGAGAAAGATGAAGCCGTATTGATAACCTCTACCGTTTGTTGACAAGTGCAAACACACTTTGCACCAGGTCAGGCAGCATTTTTAACCTAACCTGCAGGGTCAGGTTCAGTCTGTCCAAGTGACACAGCATGTCGACCAAAAAGACCAGATCCATAATCCACTTGAGGTCCGAGAGCTCGGGATAGTCCTTCTCTACCATTAACAGTTTCATGGGCGACCGTGGCTCAGGGGGTTGGGAAGTGTATCTGTAACCGGAAGGTCGCCGGTTCGATCCCCGGGCTCTCTGTCCTGGTCGTTGTGTCCTTGGGCAAGACACTTTACCCCCTACCGCCTACTGGTGTTGGCCAGAGGGGCCGATGGCGCCATATGGCAGCCTCGCTTCTGTCAGTCTCCCCCAGGGCAGCTGTGGCTACACCTGTAGCTCCCTCCACCAGTGTGTGAATGTGAGAGTGAATGAATAGTGGCATTGTAAAGCGCTTTGGGTGCCTTGAAAAGCGCTATATAAATCCAGTCCATTATTATTATTATTATTATGGCATCCAAAAGCTCAAAGAAGCGAGAGAGTGCCTGGGTTTATCACAGCCACCTCACAGTGCAGTGCAGCAGCAGGTCACCTGGAAGCCTCGGGTCCAGCTCAGCGATGAGATTCTTGAATTGCATGTGGTTAAGTGCATGTGTGTGGATGCAGTTGATGATTTCCATCACAGGCTTCATGACGTTGTCTAAATTCAGTGATTTAGACGCGAGTTGCTCCCTGTGGATGATGCAGTGGAACCAAACGTGAAACATGGGAGGGCACAGAAACAGAAACTCCAAGCTTTGTTTGCAATAATCAAGTATAAATCAAACACAAACACAGGGTCACACCCATCATGACACTCGCACCTACTGGGAAACTTTGTGGTATTTCCATCTCACGCACATTTGCATTTGATGAAAATACAGTGTTAAAGCACTTTGAATCACCTTGTTGTTGAATTGTGCTATACAAATAAATTTCCCTTGCCTTGCCTTGCCTTAAACTCAAACGAAGCGAACACGCAGATTAAAAAAACCACAAACTTCAATATAAGAGCTGCATGAAACCAGGCAAAGAGCTGCATGCGGCTCAGGAGCCGCGGGTTGGCCACTTCTGAAATGGATTAATAAACTACTAAAATGTAACATACCAAACTAAAGGACAAAGATCACTTTGTACCAGACAGATACAAACTCTGGTATTTGAGGCCATATTCCTGGTGCTATTTGAAGTCAACATACAAAGATGAAAAGAGGCTGGCTTCCTCAAGAGAACAATCATCCAAAGCAGACTTAAATATTTGTAACAGTCCCCTGGCCTGAATATCAGAGAAGGTCTCAGGGGAGATCTGACACCGCAAGACAGTCTGAAAAGATCTCTCAGCTGAAGAGATCTGCAGGAGTGGCAGCTTAATATTATTAACTGCCACCAAAAGTGTTTACAGGCTGCAGCGTGAATGACTTGGTGTCCACACTTTCACAGATTCCACAGTTACTTATGTAGTTTTTCCAAGTTAATAAAATACAGAATGGAGTTCATTAACAGCAATGGTCTCATTTGAAAACCTGAGCATGCTGCTGCATTTCTATTTATGGTCACTTTTAAAGACAGCAGTTTGGCCAAAGTGCCCGACCACTGCTGATCTGTATCACACTGAAACATATACTATATTACTACACATTATAGAGTTTATGGATAATAAGTATACCATGGCCCCATACTCGTGCTTGGAGTTAAAATTTAAAAAGTGAAAGCATGAAACCAGCAGGTGATGTGAGCCGTCACATGGACCAAATGATACAAGTGCATGGATGAAAACAACTTCAGACGTTTCCTGCAGATTTCTCACACTCAGCTCAGGCTGAGGCCGTCCGAGCTTCTAGAAGGCTCTTTAAGCCTTCTGCAGGAAATGTTTGACCAGAGCTTTCAACAAATGAGGAAACTGACCAACTACAATCCCAGGTGTATTGTAGCAACTGCTCATTTAGCTGAACTAGATCCAGGGGCAGCACCGTGGTGCAGTTGTTAGTAGGGCTGTGCGATATGACAAAAATCTCAGACATTTATCGTCCTGACAACGATATAAATCACAAAAATGTAACATTTTCTGTAAATTCTGTGAATCTCAGGCAGCTCGACTTGCGTTTAGTGTTTCCAGCTGCGCGTCATGTAGCTGGAGTCGAGTGTTTTAACCGATGCATGAAACGATACATTTTTAGACATAAGTTGTAACGGCGCCGTTTTCTCTCAAAATTTGAGCCTAAGCTTTATTTTTTAGCACCTGACGGCTCTTTTTTTGCTTCTCATCCGTAAACTCTCTGCATGCTCTTTCACGTGATTCAGTTTATTTTGAAAAGTCTCAAAAGGATCTTGAGCTTTATTGTGAAAGGTTTATGTGGAAAACAAACAAGCGGACAGCGGAGCCACGATGAAAAACAATGAAAAATATTGCTGTAAACAGTTTATTTTGCGACACCACGAAACAAACGATAGACGCTTTTATATCGTCATCGATATATATGGTTATATCGAACAGCTAGTTGTTAGCACTGTGTGCAGAGTGTGAGGCTAACTGATTATTCTAAATTGTGAATAGGTGTGATTGTGAGTGTGAACGGCTGTCTGCCTGTAAGTGTTAGCTCTGCGACCGAGTGGCAGCCTGTGCAGGGTGTAATTTTGTAATGTACCATATCAGGTCATGAAAAAAGGCAAATGGAAAATGTGTTTCTCTTTGATATTATTTGACAAAACATACATTACACACTTTACAAAAGGTTAATTCTGTTCATCAACCTTTTGATAACATGTGGCTTCTGCAGAGATCCAGTAAGCTGGTCATCTACAGTTAGGTCCATAACTTGTTGGACAAAGACATCATTTTTTTGTAGTTTTCAAACCATATGTGACTGAAGTATTTCAGCTTTCATTTAAGGGGTTTTACAAACATGCATTAACTGAATTACAGCCACTTTCATGCAGAGATCTAAAATGAATTAGGTAGTTCAATGACAAGCAGTTTCATGACCATGCAAGGTTATTCCCTCATCAAATGTATCAGATATACAGTGCTGTGCATTTGCCACATCCTGTTTCAGATCATCAAACAAATTTTATATTAGACAAAGACAAAGTAAATACAAAATGCAGTTTCCAAATGACGATTTAGGAGAAAGAAACTAAACCTACGTGGCCATAGCTATTCAAGTAATCCCCCCCCTCATGTCAAATCAGCAACTGACTGTGATGAATCCATTTTTATGGAAAGCTGAGTTTAATAACTGGATACTGTGTGACCTGATGAATCAAGGAGGATAAAAGATCTCAAAAAGTTGCACATCATGACACAAAATACACTCTAGAACAGATAAGAACCAAAGTCATTAACATGTATGAGTCTGGAAAACATGACTTTGCAAAGCTATTTTTAACACTTTGGGACAGCAGCAGTAAGGCAGAGAGGGGCGTCCATGGAGAGAATATTGAATTAACAGTTTATAGCTTCTCGCTGTAATTTTGAATAAGAGGCCCAAACACGATGAAGCTAATGTTAGCTTTATTAGGGTGAGCTGTGACGTGCACAGGGCTGTACTCTGCTCAGATTCAGACAAATGCTGCAGAAACCTGATCGAAATCTTGCAGAGCAGCTTTTCAGTTGATAACCAGAAGGATCCACAAACTGAAGGTGGATGCAGTAAATGCCTGACGGAGCGTCTCTCAGGAAGAAATGCTGCATTTGTTGATGTCCATGGGTTTTAGACTCCAGCTGGTCATTTTCTACAACAGATTTTCATCCAAGCATTAAAATAAAATTGTTAGTTTGTTGAATTAATGCATCTGAAAATGTATAAATGTTGTGCTTCCTTTGGTTTGTAAAAGTCTTACATTTAAGGCTGAAAGTCTGCACTTCAACACCCTGCTTCATGGAGGGAAAGTGGCACTGAGTGCTTTCATTTATCGTTCTCAGGTAGCTCGGTGTGGAAAGCTTTTTACTTCACTCCAAACTTCTACCCAGAAAACAAGACGGGATGTTTCCATACACATATCTGCTTTTGCACGCCGGAGTACGTTACCTTCCACGATCCTCCTCTGCTCTTCGATCTCTCAAAGGACCCATCAGAGAGCACACCGCTGACCCCAGACACTGAGCCTGCCTTTCACTTTGTCCTGGCCACAATGAAGGAAGCTGTGAAGATGCATCGGCGCTCACTGAAGCCAGTGGAGAACCAGTTAAGTCACGCGAACCTGATGTGGAAGCCCTGGCTGCAGCCCTGCTGCTCCACAGTCACGCAGCTCTGTCAGTGCCAGCTGTACCAGTAAGCTTCTGTGGAGGCGGCACTGGAAGATCCTTGCTGCTGTTTAGTCACACTAATCTGAATATGGACACTTCATATGAACTTCTCAAATCCACGATTAAACCTTTGTTTTGTCAGGGCGCAGTCATCTGTTGCACTGATTTTATTTCACTTGATGTAGTAACAAAAGCCTCACATTCAGAGATCTAGTCAGCACACAGGTGGCAATTATAAAATACAATAGACTGGATAACAACAAAGCTGAGTGACTAACACAGTAAAGTTGTCAGCTGTCAAATCAGAAAATATATTATGAGACTTAGACCTCAATACAAGTTCAGAGAATCGTCTTATACAAGTCTAAGAGATACAGTACGAGCTGCAAAGGGGGGGTCATGAATGATTAACAAATGTTGTGATACCCACGATCTGATACTGATTTTCTGGTTTTGTTGAGGCAGCTGAGGTAAAGAAAATCAGGCTTGGTTGAACTAATTTCCAGAGAATATGGTGACCATCCGTGAGCTGAGCAACAGTTTGGACTTTAAACACAAAGTCAGCTAGATTTCAAAAGTCTAGTGTGGTCTGACATGTTTGTATACAGTTCAATTCAGTTTTATTTATACAGCACCAAATCACAACAACATTTGTCTCAAGACGCTTTATACTGTAAGGTCGACCCTACAATAACAAAAACGAAACAGAACAAAACCCCAACAATCAGATGACCCCCTATGAGCAGCACTTTGGCGACAGTGAGAAGGTAAAACTCCCTTTTAACAGGAAGAAAGAACCAGGCTCAGGGAGGGGCGGGGCCATCTGCTGTGATTGGTTGGGGTGAGAGAAGGAAGACAGGATAAAGACATGCTGTGGAAGAGAGACAGAGATTAATAATAACTAATAATTGAATGCAGAGTATGAACATGATGTCAACTGTGACTGAAGTAGAAACTCCCAGTGCATCATGGGAATCCCCCGGCAGCCTACGTCTATTGCAGCATAACTAAGGGAGGATTCAGGGTCACCTGGTCCAGCCCTAACTATATGCTTTAGCAAAAAATAAAGTTTTAAGCCTAATCTTGAAAGTAGAGATAGTGTCTGTCTCCTGAATCCAAACTGGAAGCTGGTTCCACAGAAGAGGGGCCTGAAAACTGAAGGCTCTGCCTCCCATTCTACTTTTAAATACTCTAGGAACAACAAGTAGGCCTGCAGAGCGAGAGCGAAGTGCTCTAATAGGGTGATATGGTACTACAAGGTCATTAAGATAAGATGGGGCCTGATTATTTAAGACCTTGTATGTGAGGAGCAGGATTTTGAATTCTGGATTTAATAGGAAGCCAAAACAGGAGAAATCTGCTCTCTCTTTCTAGTCCCTGTCAGGACTCTTGCTGCAGCCTTTTGGATTAGCTGAAGGCTTTTCAGTGAGTTTTTTGGACATCCTGATAATAATGAATTACAGTCGTCCAGCCTGGAAGTAATAAATGCATGAACTAGTTTTTCAGCGTCACTCTGAGACAGGATATTTCTAACTTTAAAGATGTTGCGCAAATGGAAGAAAGCAGTCTTACATATTTGTTTAATATGTGCGTTGAAGGACATGTCTTGGTCAAAAATGACTCCAAGGTTCCTCACAGCGTTACTGGAGGCCAAGGTAATGCCATCCAGAGTAAGAATCTGGTTAGATACCATATTTCTAAGATTTTCAGGGGCAAGTACAATAACCTCAGTTTGATCTGAATTAAGAAGCAGAAAGTTAGCGGCCATCCAGGTCTTTATGTCTTTAAGACATTCCTGCAGTTTAACTCATTGGTGTGTGTTATTTGGCTTCATAGACAGATAGAGCTGGGTGTCATCTGCATAGCAGTGAAAATGTATGCTATGTCTTCTGATGATACTGCCTAAGGGAAGCATGTATAATGTAAACAGAATTGGTCCTAGCACTGAACCCTGTGGAACTCCATAATTAACCTCAGTGTGTGAAGAGGACTCTCCATTTACATGCACAAATTGGAGTCTATTACGGTGTGTTCACACCGAACGCGATGGACGCGAATAGAGCGTCAGGTTTACATGTAAAGTCAATGGAAAGGCGCGATGACGCGCGATTGCGGGTCCCGCGAAAATTCGGAAGCAGATTTGCGTCGCGAAAATGCCAAAACGCGTGAAACGCGCGTCAGTGTAGCGCGTCTGGCGCGTTTGACTCGCGAATAAAACCACGCGCGTGAGTTTTTGTGTTGCATTTTGTGCATACGCGCGTTTCGCGTCTACCGCTCGAGTTGGAAAAATCTGAACTGCAGCGTCAAATCGCGCCGCGACAACCAATCAGGAGCCTGGTGACGTGGCTGTTACCTAGGTCAAAGGGGCAGATCCAGCCAAAGCCTTTCATACTTCAATGGAGGGGAAGGCTAATCAATGTGGTAGCAAACAACTCGGAGCTGTACAACACCAGCTGCTTTCAGTACCGAGACAGGAATAAAAAGGACCGAGCTTGGAGGAAGATATGTGAAGAGATCGGGCAACCTGGTAAGTTCATTCATTTCTCTTTTGAAAGTTTTCACTGACGGGGGGAAGCCGCACAAAAGCTAGCAAGCCACCGCTATTTTCCCACTGACGTACAAATACCATTCTGCTTTTATGCATGTTGTCATTTAGGAATATATTTTATTGTTTATTAATAAACAGCACACAGTGGTCCTGCTGTTCATCTGTCACTGCTTTGCTTTTTCGCTGATTTTTTATTGCACAGTACAGCATTGCATTCTGCAGCCTGATTGACAAATCTCCTGCGCTTGCCAAATTTATCACGTTTGGTTTTGATAACCATCGCGTCCAATAGAAAAAACAGCACAAAAACACCCATAACTATGAGCCTCATTCGGAAATAGACACCTGCACCGTGAGGGAAAAAGGCGCACGAAAGTGGCGCGCAGATGAAGACAAACCGCGGCATAATAATACTTTTACGTTTTGCAATCTACAAAGGTTTGCACTTTGAGAATCAATTGTGAGAACTGTGACCAGGGGCTAGTTATTCTGAGAACCCCTGCAATAAATGAGGGACCACTGTCTACTCTACGATTATTATATCCAACCTGTTAACATTTAATACTGTATTGATAGAACGAACTGATTCTGCAGCAGAGCATCCCCAGTCCCTGAGCTCCTGCTGCTGCACCCACAGATATGTACAGCAAGCACTGATACCTTTTTAGTCGGTGGGATTCCCTTGTGATCACCTTTACTAAATATCTACAACCAATCTGATTATATCCTGTTATTGTTTTTGTTTTTTTTTTCAATGTTGAAATTAAAATCTAGTAGCAGCCTTCTCATTTCTTTGTGTTTTACAGGCCCACAGAGGAGGACGGCTCCGAGGCAGATGAGGGACGGGTCCCAGGACGGTCCATCGGCGGTGGAGCTGGCCATCCTGGAGTCCCTGAAGAGGCCACACCAGTCTCCAATGGAGCATTTCCTCCTCAGCCTTGTTCCTGCTCTGGAGAGCAGCTGGTCCTTTTTATTCCTGTCTCTCTGTAAATTCTTATATTTTATATATTTATGTTTAATGTTTTTCTGTTTGAGAATTTTAATATTATTTCAAATAAATGTTTATAATGACTAATGTCTCAGTTCTACTACACAGCAAATGTTGGCACACAACTTGACACATGTAGAATTTATTTCATATTATACTAATGACAAAATATACTGATACAGTGGGATGCAGAAGTTTGGGCAACCTTGTTAATAGACATTATTTTCCTGTATAAATCGTTGGTTGTTACAATAAAAAATGTCAGTTAAATATCATACAGGAGACACACACAGTGATATTTGAGAAGTGAAAAGAAGTTTACTGGATTTACAGAAAGTGTGCAATAATTGTTTAAACAAAATCAAGCAGGTGCATCAATTTGGGCACCACAAAAAAGAAATGAAATGAATATTTAGTGTATATCAATGTGTGTGTCTCCTATATGATATATGGGGTGCCTTTGTCTGGACGTGCTTCCCATCCAGAGCTGCACAGCAGAGAGGAAAGTTCCAGCGCTCCTGGAATCCCTCTGTGATGGAGCGCCAGTCTCCAGGTGAAGGCACAGCCATGAAGTCGTCCACTAGACAGTCCCAGATGGACGTCGCTGCCTGGGGGGTGATCTGGCTCACCGTGGACACACCGACTCTGAAACTGAACGCGATGGTCCTGAAGGAGTCCCCGGTGACAAGGAACCTGGACAAAATTGTTCAAAATCAGTATTATGTGTACTGCAGTTACAAAATACATTATTCAAATTCCAAAATACTTTTGTGATGTCAGATATAAATCACAAAACTTAAATCTTACATAAAACATTTTGTAATTATAAGGATAATTACAAAATGTATATTAGATCATATCTAAAACTGTTGTGTTTTGTTTTAACTTTAACATATCATAATTTGATTGGTAGCAACTTTCACAACTACAGTGAGCCAATCACTCATAATTCCTAAACATGTCAATCAGGTAGGAATGAAGTAAGACATTAATAGAAATAAAGAGTTGTATGTTGACATGTAGCCCTTTCCTTGCTTAAATCATTAATATTTTTGAAAAATTAATCTGTGATAAGACAGCTTATCAAGATAGAACCATGTAACTAGAGATGAACCAAACTGTTCAGTTTTATCTAACTCTGTTTTAATAAAGGCTGTGACCCCTGCTATAGAGTCTGACAGCTGCAGGGATTATATACAAATATTCAACTATCCCAGAATCAAACCAGGTCTAAATAAAAAGGAGTGAGTATCACTACAAGGTTAACTCAGTGGTCCTAATGCTACAGTTTGATATCAGCAAACACCGAGCGCATACATTGATAGGACACCACAGCCATGCTATCATGCAAACACTGATAACAGCATAAATCGAATTAAATCGGGACTTGATGAGAGCTTCTGAGTATCACTAGAAATATTATAAAGAGTCGTCTCTGTACCACAGTTTGCTTTCAGTAAACACCGACAGCATTCACTGTTAGCATAGCACATCCATGTTAGCAGTGTATAACTGGATGGATTAGCATATTAGCACAGATATCAATAAAGGACTACCGTATTAAATAGTTTTACTAACCTCAGGCAGACGGACAGGCGCTCTGCAGGTGGGATTGAGCACCTGTAGTTGGTGTCTAGGCGGGCGATGGTGGGACCGACGAGGGAAAGCAGGTCCTCAAACTGGCCGACGGTGATAGCGCTGGAATCGGCCGTCATCCAGGCGCAGCTCCTGGAGCAAGTGGTGAAACTCACCAAACTGCTCATGCCTCTGGAGGACCTGATGGACCCAGGTACGGCGAGGACGTCTTTTACGCTGCTGCTCTGCTCTCCACAGTACATAGAGAAGGGAGACTCTCTCTTCAAGCGCTAGCTCGATAGCTGCCATCTTGCAAAGATACCGGTCTGGCACAACTCCCTCCCACATTTCCGGTTCACGCGCGTCAAAATCGATGGATTTTTCTTGGACACGCGTTGAGACGCGAATGTACACGCGTCAAATTAGGGGCGTTTGGGGCGTTTTATTCGCGTCCATCGCGTTCGGTGTGAACACACCGTTAGATAGATATGATACAAACCACTGCAGTGCAGTACCTGTAATACCTACAGCATGTTCTAATCGCTCTAATAGGATATTATGGTCG